CTAAGGCACTAGACTCTCACATGGCCGACCATGGTTCAAGCTCCAGACCTGGTGGCTTGAAAATCATGTTGGTGCATGTGCATGTATGCCAAAAATCTCAAGAGGAAAATGGAGAAGAGATTGTGTCGTGGCCATTCGCCATGGGGGATGAGTTTTCACTTTCTCTCCATCTCTTTCTCATGAGCACACGCATCTTCTTTAGGTAACAGAAGACATGTCCTAAGATGTTCTGAACTATTGTACTTCATGTCAAGAGGAGGCCTCCTCCCATCAAATCCTGGGATTACTGAGCACCCAGGATCAGTGCCCCAGCATGCCTGGCCCTGCTCCACATTCCAGATCTTACATTGGAGGGGCAGAACCGAACACTGCAGCATCAGTATCCCCCCTTCTCCGTGTCAAAGCTGACCTGGGGCAAGAATCAGGATGGTGGCTAGAGGCCTGGCTTCTGTTACTTGCCAGGATCTTTGTAGTGTGAGGAGAAGGGCTTCACTGCCCCCTCTCCCCTGCCCCCCGCCCCGAGAGTGTCTATCTGATGCCCACCGAGCAGCAGCCTCAGGACAACGATGTCAGGGACATCTGTCCAAATACCCAGATGGTCAGGTGTGGCTCAGGCAGTAGCTCTTAAGACCATGATCATTTAAAACACGGGGGAAAGTGGAAGGAAAGGGGTATTAAACCCTAGGCCCACCCCTCAGAGATTCACATTCAGTGGTTGGGACTGCCCAGAAATGGGCATTTAAAAAACAAAAAAAGTAGTCCTTCCGGGACCAGCAGTTGGTGTAATGGCTACATCGCTAGACTCCCATGTAGTCGACTGTGGTTCGACTCCCAGACCCTGTAGCTTAAACTCACACCAGGCACATGTGCATGTGTGCCCGAGATCCTGAGAGGAGAATGGAGGAGAAGGGATTGTGGCCTGGCCATACTCCCTGGGAAGTGATGTCTCGCTTTCTGCCTTTCTGTGTCTTTCTGGTGAGTGCATGCACCCTATAGCAAAAACCTCTCACCAAAAAAAAAAAAAAGAGTCCTTCCATCTGATTCTAATTTTTTACTTCTGGAAATGTATATTCAAAACAGGTGCTATCAGGACCAGCAGTTAGCGTAATGTCTATGTTGCTGAACTCCCATATAGCCGACCACAGTTCTAGTCCTGGACCCAGTGGCTTAAACTCACACCAGGCACATGTGCATGTGTGCCCGAGATCCTGAGAGGAGAATGGAGGAGAAGGGATTGTGGCCTGGCCATACTCCCTGGGAAGTGATGTCTCGCTTTCTGCCTTTCTGTGTCTTTCTGGTGAGTGCATGCACCCTATAGCAAAAACCTCTCAAAAAAAAAAAACTAAAAAGAAAAACGAAAAACAGGTGCTATCTATCTCTAGGGTGAATCTGTGTCAGGCTTTTCTTTTTTTAAAAAAAAGAATTATTTATTTTATTTACTTTTTATTATCATTATTATCTTTAATTTGATCAGAGAGAAAGAAGGAGACAGAGAGAGAGGGAAAGTGTGAAAATAAACCACCAGGTCTGGGACTCAAACTATGACTGGCCTTGTGGGAATCCAACACCTTAACCACCACCCCACCTCCTGGCCCTAGGCTTTTCTTATTTTTTTTTAATTGCCAGAGGGCACGTGTACTTGCCAGAGAGAGTGAACAGAAAAGAAGAAAGCACCCCCTCCCGCATGGGGTGTGGTGACACTGCAATCCCTTCTCTGTTTCTCCATCCTGTTGGGATTTGGGGCACACGTGCACACAGCCAGGTGTTTCTCAGTCCCCTGGGGCTGAGATGTGAGGCAGTCAGGGATGTGGGATGAGGCTCCCTTAGCCAGTAGGCCATGGGGCTGGCCCCTTTGTGTTGGCTTTATAAAACATTGTAAGTAGAAAGCAACTGGCACCGGAATGGAGGAGGAGAGGATGAGAAAGAGAGGGAAGGGAAAATCCCATTTTAGAGCTTGGAGGGAGCTTGGCAAGTCTGGTCTAAGTACAGTCGCCGGCTGCGCGCACAGACATAGCTTCTGGTGTCTGTCCTCTTTGCTCCCTAACTCAGGGCCCTGTGACCCACCAGGATTCTACAGAGAACTGCACCTCCACACTGAACACCCCCTTTCTCAACCCCCTTTCAGTTCTTCTAGGTGAAGTGTTCAAAAGTCCTGAATTAGGACTTTCCTACAGGAGATTTATTTCAACATGTTAAATAATTAAAGTGTAAAAATGACTTTTTATACGAGAGTCACATTATCAATTCAGGTGGAATGACAGAAATAGAGAAGCAGCCATTCTATAAACCCTCACAGTGACGATGATCGATAGCCACTGAAACTAGCTGAGAAATGGGGCACCATCGTGTACGGATCTGCTGTCACAGGAACACACTGACTGAGCTTGGCATCACTGACTGAAATGAGACCCCCAATCCTCAGGCAGCTCCTGATGGGGTATGACACAAACATGTCCATAGCAGCTATCCTAAGATAGTCTGACAGGAAAAAACAATAAAGATAGAAAAAAAGAAAGCTGGATCTGATCACAGCTGTGGGTCCAGTGTTAACTGTTTCCAGGAAATACAGAGAATAGAAGAACACATTAAAATGAAAGCAGCAGAGCCAGCAGGTGTTGTGGTAGTTATGGCGCTGGACTCCCACATGGCCGACTGTGATCAGAGTCCTGGACCTGGTGGCTTAAAAAAAAACCACACTGGGCGTGTGGGCATGTATGCCCAAAATTCCAGGAGGAGAGTGGAGGAGAAGAGACTCTGGCTTGGCTATTTCCCTGGGGGGTGGGGGCATTTTCACTTTCCCTCTCATTGCCCCCCTCTCTGTCTCTCTCCGGGGAGTGCACATACCCTATAGCCAAAACAACAACAACAAACAGAGAGACAGACAAACAAAACCAAACACCTTCAACAAGAAAAGAGAATAGTCTCATCCTAGCATGTAACACCTTGAGGGTAAATAAGTCAAATACAGAATGGGGACAATCCTACAGGGCTTTCTTCTTCCACAAGTAAGTAGCACTAGAAACAAATGTAAGGGCCACCAGGTGGTGTGGAGGTTAAGGTAGCTGGATCCTAAATGGCCAGCTGCACAGTTCGAGTCCCAGACCTGGTGTTTTGAAAATCACAGGGGGCGCACGTGGGTGTTTGCCCAAAATTCTGAGAGGAGAATGGAGGAGAAGGGATGTCACCATGGCCACCCTTCCTTAAAGGTGATTTCTTATTCTCCCTCTCTGTCTCTCTCTGGCCAGTGCACACACCCTATAGCAAATAAATAAATAAATAAATAAAAGAAAAAACAAATGTAGACACCTAGCACCCAGATCTTGGCTGCTAATAACATTTTCTATTAAAAGGACCAGGGCACCTTGAAGAAATGCCTGATTCTTAGGCTTGGGCAGGGAAAATACAAGATGAGCATGAAATATCTATAGTGTCAGAAAGTAAGGAAGTGCAGAAAAAGTAAAAAGGAGGCCAACCTAAAAGTCTCAATGGCCAAACATGGAAAAATTCTGAGCACTAAAGTAAATACAGTTGGGTTATAACCCAAAGTAAAAAATCATTGTTCTTAGGTCCATAGCAATAGAAAAAAAGAATTGGATAAATAAACAAACAGGAAGGGAAGGGTGAGTCTTCTTTACATAAGAACTCCAAATGCAGATTCTCCTTTTCTGTGAGGTTGAGCTTAATTTCCATCCCCTGGAGGCGGGAGAGATGTTAAAGATGTTAATGATTTAATGAAAGATTTCAGCGTAAAATATTAACTGCAGACGGAGGAGCATGGCAATGGTCAAGGTTAACATCACTAACTCACGTGGATACCATGTCATCTTTGATAAGATAAGAGGAGATGAGAGGGGCCCTCTTGTGTTAGATAGCAAGTACTCCCAGGTGGAAAAGATACATGATGTTTACATCTTGTTTTAAAATACTGGCACAAAAGAAGTGGAAAATGGAGATAGATGAAAAAAGGTTATTATAGGGAACCAGCAGTTAGCGTAATGGCTATGTCGCTGGACTCCCACGTAGTCGACCGCGGTTCGTGTCCCGGACCCGGTGGCTTAAAACTCACGCCGGGCGCGTGTGCGTGCGTGCCCAAGATCCCCGAGAGGAGAATGGAGGAGAAGGGATTGCGGTGTGACCATCCCCCCTGGGGGGTGATTTCTCGCTTTCTGTCTCTATGTCTCTCTCTGTCTGTCTGGCGAGCGCATGCACCCTACAGTGAAAATCTCCAAAAAAAAAAAAAAAAGGTTATTATAGAGTAGATGACTATTGAAGCTGAGGAACGAATTCATGGCAATGTTTCCTGTTTGTTATTTGAAAATTCTTCTAGGTAGAAGTTAATAGAAGCCAGCCCAGTTGGCTGGATCCCACACAGCCACCTGCTCAGTTTGAGTCCTGGTTCAGGGGCTTGAAACACACAAGGTGTGTGTGTATGTGTGTGTGTGTATGTGTGTGTGTGTGTGTACGTGCAAAATCCCAAAAGGAGGGAGAAATGGAGAAGGGATTGCAAATGTGACCATGCCCCATAGGAAGTTACTTGCTGTCTCTCTCTCTCTGTCTCTCTAGCAAGCACAAAGCACACTCTAGGAAAAAAGACAATAGAACAAAAACTAAAACACCATTTTGGCCAACACGTTCACACACGCAGTCAAGATACCAGTTTGAAGTCACTGAAGTAAACAGAAAATTTACCCAGAGAGTGTATAATTAACCAAAGTGCTGAGAGTAACTGGCAAATGTTGGGTTCACTGCCTTTCTCCTTATTAAAAAATATTCATTCGTGGTAGAGCAATAATTAAGATCAACAGGAAAACAGAACTTCATCAACCATATTACACTTATTTAAAAAAAAAAAA